CGAATATTTCATGCCTAATTTATATTTTGTGTCTAATATTTTCTTCCTAATATTTTATACCTAACAACGCAGACACGCGCGTATCATAAAGCGAAGAATAAATTATCCGCCAGACCGTATAATTTCCAAACACGTGAAAGCTATCAAGGTTATACGAAACTCTCCGAGCTTGTCCAGCTCGTTCCACTGTTCGAGTGTCGACTCTTGCGCATCGATTACACGAAAATCGAGTAACTTCAATCGAGTTATAATTGAACAGTCGAGAACTTTATTTGACTAATTACTGCACACGTTGTTCAATATAATATCGCGACCACTTTTCGAACCAGCATGTTGCAAACCTGCCTCGAGGGCGTAGTCCTGTTGTCGGAGGTTTGTAATTTGGTTATGTTGTTTCTGCGGAAGCAATTTTGTTGAGAGTGAGAGAGAGAGAGAGAGAGAGAGAGAGAGAGAGAGAGAGAGAGAGGGAGAGAGCAAAACGTCAACTTCGCCGGCGTTGCTTATAAACCGGTCTCCGTATTTAGAATTTGCAACTGTGCTGAAATCTGCGTATACGATATTTTATAGCGTCATTATCGTGCAACATTAAACTACGAACCACCGTCTAAACCAATTTATAATTACTCGCCACGATCGCTTGTTAACCAAATTGGTTATCTCGGCTATGCAATTTTATCGAAATTCCTCCGGCATGCACGGATGCAAAGTGACAGCCGTGCAAATAATCCGTTGGACCGTTTTTCCAGCTGTTTACGTAGTATAGCATGCAGAAAAGCAAATCTCGACTACTTCTACGCGTTGCAGCATAAACCAGCCACTAAATTTGGACATTCTCTAAAAAGATCGACGCCTATGTGTTCCCCGAACGCGTCGGCCGTTATTTAGAAACGAAACATTAGCAAGAATATCAACGAAATCTTCGCTTAGAAATAGACCGCAGATTTTGCATGTTTCGCCGTTCGCATTTTATTGCACGGAAACCGTGAACACGAACTAATTCTGCAGCTGAAAGATTCTTTATAGAGAAAATCAAAATAATTTATAAATCGAAGCTGTTTCAACTATATTTAAGAATAATATTATTATAATTGTATTGCACGCGTATGAAAGTGCGCTTATTTATTTAATCGAATCGAGCATTTGAATATAAACCAACTTGATAATGCAAAAATTACTTCAAACAATGTTGCAGCAATTTTTAGTGTTCCAGAGTTATTTTTCCAGATCGGTCGTTCTAGTGTTAAAAATATTTAATCAGATGCATTGTTGGACATAGCTACGCAGTTGATATACAGGGTGTCCCAAGATCAGCGGGTTCCTCAGATCATTCGAAGCAACTTCTTCCTTTATAAAAATGTTCTCCGAGGCGCCGATAACGAGTTATTAACGAAAAACAGTGACCAATAAGAATCGAGTACGACTGACGCGAGGCGGCCCAGCCAACCAGCGCACGAAGCCCAGTTCCGCTCATTGGCTCGGTCGCCTCGCGCCAGCCGAGCTCGCCTCTCATTGGTCACCGTTTTTCGTTGATAACTCGTTAACGGTGCCTCGGAGAACATTTTTATAAAGGAAAAAGTTGCTTCAAATGACCCGAGGAATGCGTCACTTTCGGATTGCGAGACATTTTTGGGACACCCTATATCTGTGATCGCTCACTATTGGCCACTATTATATTGTTTCTTCGCTTTTCCATTTTTCTGATCCAGTCTAATTTCTTTTCGTGACTTTTCTCCGATAAAAATCCTGTATTTTATAGCGCAATTATAATGCGTACAATTAAATTGTTAAAAATCCTTGCACGCGACGCTCTTCCAGGTATCCAAGCATACAAGAAATCGCAAAATCGCGCGAAATTATCCGAACAATTTACAACTGATTCCACGAGCCCAGTCGACGTGTGCGAAACATAGAAATATATATTTCCCGCGAAAGCCCGCGCAATCGTTGTCCTCGGAATTCAGAGCCGCGCTCGGATTAAAACGCTACGCTGAGATCTCGCAGACCAATAATGATTATACGGATAAGCCATTGGAACGGGAGAGCTCGGCTCGCTTTGCTGAAATTAAAATCACCCTTTTCCCGGGAGCTTCCTACGCGAGTGCAACAAACGGTCCTCTCCCTCCGCGCCTTTCATTCGGCCTTCGTATATTCCGCGTCGCCCACGGCCGTAGCGGCCGAAGTTCCGCCTCCGCGTTTCCGACCGAGGAAATCGATCGATCATTTGCCACCACGGCCGTCTCCGTGACATTGGAAAACGTTTTTGAGCTTCCCGATCAGCGCATCCTGCGTTCGAAACGCATAATTTGTCGACGATACGGTCGCGTCCAATCGCGACCGTCGCAATTATATCGACACGCAGGACAATTCGCGAGACTCGCAATTAACCGGTTAGCTGTGTCGCGACGAGTATACTCGTCGCGGAGAAGTGGCGGTATTTTCTGTCGCGACGAGTATACTCGTCGCGCGTGAAACTTTTACAAGTTAAGGAACTGTCGTTGAAAGGTCTGAAAAGCTGCGGATTTCTTACTGCGGATTTCGATAAAAAACGTTTCATAAAATTGTGAGAGAACTGCGATCTTTCAGGTCTTCTATTTTACGTAACATTACTATTGACGAGATATTGTTTAACATTAGTGGAGTGTTAGAAATTGATTATGGTAAATTCTCCACAATTGTCCCTCGGCTTCTAAGCAAAAATGGACAATTTGGGAAGAGGAGGTTCGGTTTTTATAGTACTATAATATTTATAGTACTATAAAGTACTATAACATTTATAGTACTATGAAGTACTATAACATTTATAGTACTATAAAGTACTATAACTATAAATACTATATAACTATAAATATGATAGTACTATAACTATAAATATTATATAACTATAACTATAAGTACTATAACTATAACTATAATATAACTATAACTATAAGTACTATAACTATAAATATTATATAACTATAACTATAAGTACTATAACTATAAATATTATATAACTATAACTACAAGTACTATAACTATAAATATTATAGTACTATAAATATTATATAACTATAAATGTTATATGCATACGAATATAATTATAATCGCATATAATTATTTACAAATATTCGTACTCCCTCTTCCAAAATTGTCCATTTTCGCTTAAAAGCTGAAGGAAAATTCGGGAGAATTTACAACGCGTATTTTTTAGAATAATAAGTATACAGTGTGACCGAGAAGAAAAAGGTAGCTCGATTCCGGCGATCGGGTCCTCCGTTCGACGACAATCATGGAATAGAAATCCCGTAGACGATCGCGTTACAAAATGGACGTCGCGGATTGCGTAACGATTGGATCGCAGTCTTTTTACAACGCGCGCGATTCTCACGTTCGATCCGCCGGTATATGTTTAATGAATGTTTTACGACGAACAAGGTACAGTACGGGGAATAATTTCAACGTTGTATGTAAATTCTCGATTTTGCCCTCGCATAATGATCCTCGTTATAGAAATTTCGTATAGCCTAGACATATTTAGTGTTATCCAATAATTCGCCATTATGCGTTATAACGTGATTCATTAAATCCTCTATCGAATAATCCTTATTGGAAATTTTATGCGACCCAGAAATATTTACGCCGCGGCCGCGCGCACACGCGCGCGCTTCGTTCTTATGGTATAATTAATTCGCGAACGTTACGCAAATTATTATTTCCATGAATGATTTTATAGAATGCTGCACGAACTTCCGAACAAAGTTTCGGTTATCTGTTTTACGGAATTCCTGGAATTAGCTGCAAAATGAAATCGATCGGCGGTGTGTATTATTATTAAATTCTCGCGGTGGCAAATTGTTCCTCTGTCGATGATACTCGCTGGAAATTGCTCGATGGAACGGCTCAAACTTCGTTCCATATAAATGTATAATTATTATTGATATGTAATCCAGTCAGCAAAAAGTCATTAATATAATAAATCAGTCATCGTGTTATTAATATATAATATATCATTGATATATAATTCAGTCGTCAAAAAGTTTGTCGAGAAGCTTGCGATAAGTAAAATGTTAATCACGGATTTACTAATTAGAAAACACGCACTATTGTTCGCAGGACATGCAGTAAATTCTCTCCAATTGTCCTACAGCTTGTACAAGCAGAACTGGACAATTTGGGAAGAAGAGATATGATTATTCGAGCCTCGTTTTTATAGCTGTTGACAATCGGCGATTATAAGGACGAGCCGCGAGACTCAAATAATCGTATCCCCTCTTCCTAAATTGTCCATTTTTGTTTCCAAGCTGAGGGACAATTGGAGAGAATTTATTATAATTACTAGATCGAAGTATAAATCATTTTTGCTTAGGTATATCGTATTTACTTGCTGATAAAAATAAATATTTATATCCTCCTCAATTAATATCATATTATATATTATTATTATTATTATTATTATTGTTGTTGTTGTTATTATATAATATTATATAATATTACATAAAACTAGCTATAAAAATCGTATCTCCTCTGCCCGAATCGCCCGTTTCTATCTCCAAGCTGAAGGACAATCGGGGAGAACTTGCTGTCCACGCGATGAAAATTGAGCGCTCGAACGAGTTCTTAACAGCGTCGCGTTAAACCCGAACGGCATCTTACGCTTATCTGTCCGGTTTAGACGGTCGTTTTACCAACGTTCCACACGTTTCACGGATTCCACGTGGCGTTGCTCGGTTTGAATGACGAGGATTTAACGAGTCCGTTCCGCGTTACCGTTCAATTACGGCATCCAGCCGCGACGATCCGCTGTGTTTAAATTCTCCATGGTCCCCTGGTCTTTTTTTCTTTCTGTTTCCAGCCGCCGGAGAACGAGTTGCAGAAAATTGGCGAACGGGTACCGAGCGAACACGAACTCCGAGTACAAAGATCTCTGCAGCGACTGAACGTCCCGGATTGGTACAAGAACTCTCCCGCGGCTCGCGATGGTTTCCGGTTAAAGAGGCACTCCGACGCGTCGCAGCACGGAGGATGGCGTGCTCTGGGCTCGAAAACCACTTCCCTCTCGTCCCTATCGTCGTCTTCCAATAGACAGCCGACTACAGGTAAACAACATTCCGCTCATAACCGTCCGACCGGTTAGCGATCGCGGAATACGACGCCGCTTTTGACGCATTCGATATTAAATATTAAATTCCCACGTGTTCTCCGACGACGTATCGTTCGCCGGCGGTTGTTCGAAGTGTCTGCGACCACCTTGAAATAACGAAGAGAATCGAACTTTTTCTTGTTCTTTTTTCTATTTTTATTGTCTAAGAATTTTATTGTCTATTTTTATTGTTCGAAGTGTCAAAAATCAATCGCAAATGGTTCCAGCCTTTGAAACGATATTTCACGGTATTTTGCGACAGGAATTTCTCTGACGCGTGCAAATCGTCACGTTTCAAATTAATATTAACATTATTCAAATTTGTTAATACTAAAAAAAATCGTTAAAAGTGTATACCTATATGTATAACGTGCACTAAGTTCTGCGGAAATGAAATACCACAGGCCGGAAAAACTATTTTGGATTTCTAATTTAAGTGGCTCCGACTGCAAATGGTTAACCCTTTCTTTCTAATCAGTGATAGTTACGAAGAATTGTACCTGTGATATAGAATATAATTACAACGCGCGATTGCGACTTGGATCAGAACGAAATTCCTATAATACGAGTATAATATAAATTCGCGAGAACAATATGAAAAACTTATCTAATTTCTTTTTATCTAAAATTTATCTAAAAATATTTCTCGCAATGCACTTTATCGCGATCTTAGTCGAGACCAAACAAAAGTTCCCCGCCTCGAATTCGAAGAGTTTCGGTGTCGACCGCGCGCGTCGAAAACCCGCGGAAAAAGTGGTCGCGTCACGGGATCGCGATGGATTTGCAAGGAATGGCGCAACGTCGGCGCGAGGGACGTGCTCTCGCTGCTGCCCTCGTAAAAAGGCAAGGAGTGTCCGAAATTAGCGCGTGGCAAAGCGGAGTGTCGGCCAATTTCATTTATGCGCGTCTCCGGCGCGGCGCGGTGTTCCCCGCGTGCGAGTGACGTGCTCTCGGCGATGATGACAGTGGCTGGGCAGGACGGCGACGGGGCGACGGCTAATAGGAAGCGGCTAATAAATTTAGCGGGGCACGTTAACTCGATTAATTCGACCCTGTCGGTTGTCTGTTACCGGGCCAGGGAAGAACCAGCGCCCGCGGACCAGAAACCGCGTGCTCGACGCACGGAAACAGCGCGGAGGGTGCAGACTGCTCGCGTGGGGTGCCTCGGAAACGTTCAAGGACGCTTCTAACGAGAGAACACAATTTGTTAAGGGAGAGCTCTAATTACGGGATTTAAAGGGCCGAGAGGCGCGGCGCGGCGCGCAAGCCGCCCCGCCGCGACGACTGGATTTAGTCGAAAGTGGCCCGGGACGATTTCTAATTGGATTCTTGGGGGGAGGGGGGAGCGGCTAAACGAGTTCAAAGGGAGCAGCGCCGGTCCGACTACTCCTTACCCCCGTGATGATTAATTATTATTCGGGGACTGCGAAACTTCGCGCGGAATCTACGTTTTATCGCATCGATTAACCCGTCGTAGTAAATTCTCCGTAATCGACGCTCAGTTTGTACGCAAAAATCGAGGCTCGTTTTTATAATTGTTGGCAATCGGTGCCTATAAAAACGAGACTCCTTTTTATAGTCATCGATTTTTAACTGTTATAAGAACGAGTCGCGAGACTCGAATAATGTACAGTAAACTTTGCCAAATTTTCCTTCAGCTTGTAATAAAAAAATTGACAATTTGGAAAGTATCTGCTTTTCCCAAATTGTCCATTTTCGTTTACAAGCCGTGGGACAATTTGGGAGACAATTTGGGAAGTATCTGCTCCTCCGAAATTGTCCATTTTTGTTTACAAGCCGAGGGACAATTGGGGTGACAATTTAGAGACAATTTAAAGAGAATTTGGGAAGTATCTGTTCCTTCCAAATTGTCCATTTTCGTATACAAGCTGTGGGACAATTCGGGAGACAATTTGGAGACAATTTGGGAAATATCTGCTCCTCCAAAATTGTCAATTTTCATTTACAAACCGTGGGACAATTGGGGAGACAAGTTAGAGACAATTTAAAGAGAATTTAGGAAGTATCTGTTCCTTGCAAATTGTCCATTTTCGTTTACAAGCTGTGGGACAATTGGAGAGACAATGTGGTGACAATTTGAGAAGTATCTACTGCTCCAAAATTGTCAATTTTCGTTTACAAGCTGAGGGACAATTGGGGAGTATCAGTTCCTCCCAAATCGTCCATTTTCGTTTACAAGCTGAGGGACAATTGTGGAAAATTTACTGTATTTATAATATAATGCTCAAGTCTGCGCCATTCGAATGAGCTTTTGCGAGCTTCTACATATATTGTCGTTGAAAGCTTCCCCGCGATCGCGTTCCCGGCTTACAGAATCGTCGATCATAGTCTCTCGTGCTGTAATCCATTTCAAAGACAGATCAGGTAACGCACTCTTTGTAAACTGAGTCAAGATTCCAACGTTACTACTACACTGCACACACACACACACACACACGCGCGCGCGCGCGAGGCTTTAAATAACAGGTTGTAAGAGCTGCTAAAACATTCATTATACAGGTGGTACGAGATCGAAGTTAAATTAATGCGCCTTAATAATTTGTTCTTTCGCGCGTCTTTTCGACATTAAATATTCGTTTAAAATATTCGCGTTGTCGCACGTTTTCGTGCAAGCCGAGAATATATTCGAAAAATCCGTAGCATCTTCTATAATATATCAGTATAGTGATAAATAAGATTATACATCAGCGAAGTATAAAAAGAAAGCAACCTGCGACGTATACACCTTTATCGATTACGCAGTGTAACACCCCCCGTTTATGGTTACCAACCGCCGCCATATTGAATACTTCGCGTAAAACGATTCCCTAACTAGCTATAATTTTGCCTGTAAATTTAGTATTCGCCAGATTTGCATTTCTTTTTTGGACTGCAACAAAACTAAGCGTTTAGTGACTTAAAAAATAATTTAATAATAATTAATTATTAAATAATAATCCAAGTCTCCCTTTAAATCGCCCTCTCGTTTATCTATCTACCAATTTCTATCACTTACGAAACTTTCCATTCTTTAATATTTATACATCCTCGCATTAATAACATCAATTTCAACATATTTCCTTCACTCTCGAACCAACGGTTTACACAGTTGGTCGCTGATGCGCGCCCATAATTCAAAATTAGACCGCTGTTCTCTTTGCTAAATAAGAATTCTCCGCACCCAACTGGGTGGACTAGAATGCCAGTGACGTAAGTCGTATTTTCGAAAATTTTCACTTACGCCTTAAAATCTATTCTACACGTGTCAAAGCGTTAAAAAAAAATAGAAGAAACGAGTGAAATAAATTATATAAAATAACTGTACAATGAACTAATCTAACTCTAGATTATCTCGACAATAAATTCGGTCAGTATAAACAGTCGTAAACAATCGCACTGCTCCGAGAAGAACGTGTTCTTACGCCACTGTGATTCTAACCTGATTGTATTGGGTTGGCAACTAAGTAATTGCCGATGTCAGTTATAGATGTCTCTCACTCCCATTTTTACGATATCCGTAAATGTTATATTATAAAATTATTATTATTATTATTATGTTATTTTTTATTATCCGTGAATGTTATCAACTGAACAAATTGAATGCAGCGGTCAAGGAAAAGCGGCCAGAATTGATCGATCGTAAAGGTGTCATTTTCCAGCAAAACAATGCTAGGCCGCACACGTCTTTGTCCACTCGGCAAAAATTGATGGATATTGGTTGGGAATCGATGTTACACCCACCATATAGCTCTGATCTCGCGCCATCAGATTACCACTTATTTCGATCCCTGGACAACTCCCTTCGTGGTAAAACTTTTAACGACGACGACGCTGTAAAATCTCACTTAACTCAGTTTTTGGCCGAAGAGGATCAGACTTTCTACGAGCGTGGAATTTTCAAGCTGTCAGAGAGACGGCAAAAGGTCATCGAACAAAATGGAAAATACATTACAGATTAAACTTCGTTCCAAGTAAAAACAGAATTTTGTATTTCATTGAACAAATCGGCAATTACTTAGTTGCCAACCCAATAAAAGACAGACGTCGAATGGAAATGTGTTTGAATAAACTTTGAATCTGTGTATCCGCGCAAAATGACGTCCTCGTTCACGCCATAAATGGACAAAATCCGCGGGTTTATTTTCCGATGTTCCTAGTCTCACGTGTTCAAGCAGCGAAGACGATTGTAAAATGTTGCCGTCGAATCTCTGTGCAGGTGCCCTTCTAAGTCCAAGTCCCACGCCACCTGCATTCTCGAGATGGAGTACCAGCCTGCTGAACAGCGCCGGAAGTTCGCCAGCAAGTTCGGCGAGGTCGTCCTTCAACCACCGACAGCCGTACTTGGGCTGGCGTTCGCAGGAACGATTAACAAACCCACGAACACCGGCCGAACGTCTTGCTCAGGGTATTCTTCCCCAGTTGCAAGCAGCAAACAAGGTTTGTATTTAATTATCCTTCGCCTGTGCTCACGCGAACGCGCATTCCCCCTAGCCTCCGAACGAAAACAAAAAAAAAATAAAACGAGCACAAAATGGCCGGGTTGAAACGGAACCCCTTGATTGCTTCGAGCCTTGCCCTTTCGTTATTTTAAAATTTCTTAACTCTTTGATTATCGTAATACTCGATTCAAATATTATTATAATGTTAAATATTATCCGAATCGTTCGTGTTCACGAAGTTCACGCTCGTTCGCATTATTTATTATACAAATATTTCTTTTGAGTTATTATTTGTAATTATTAATCGTTAATTATACTTATTTATTGTAATAAGAATAATGGTATAAGGTGATTATAATATAATAAATATAATATAATAAATTATATTTATTATATTCTAATTTAATATATTAATATAATATAATATAATATATAATATATAATTATATTATTATTATTTATTATATTAAATATAATATTATATAATTTAATATCATATTCTAATATAATAAATATAATAATAATAATAATAATTACAAATAGAATAGTTATGAATTATTTACTTTATTATTTAATTACAATTGCTTGATTTGTGTGTGTGCTCTTGAATGAACGATTACCTCCAGGCATCATTTACGGTTAGAATTAATTCATTATCGTAGAAACTCATTGAGATTCTAGATTAGTATTTTAATTATTTTATTTATTTGATTAGTATGTTTTTATGCTGCGAGATAAAAGGATCGTATTCTTTGGTTCGCACACAAATGTCTATTTCGGTTAACGCGTTTTAATTATTATCCGTATTCACGCGTTCACGTGGTTGCAAAATACGCTTTCGCGCGTTTTTCTTTTTTTTAATAGCATTTTTCGCGTTTCATTAAACTTGGAAGCGCACTGCGGGGTCTCTTTAACCTCCATAGAAAGTAAGTTTCGTATGTGTTAAGGTTTCACTCGAACTTTAGAGCTGCACGCGCCTGCAGGTACGTAAAAAAAGAAGGTATCATACATGTCGTGCGTTATTTTTAGAAAATCTGAAACGTGTTCCGCGAGACATCGGTATTCAAAACGAGTCATTAAGAAATGGACGAATCTCGAAACGGATGAAGCTAAAGGTTGCGAGCATAAAGTTGCAATATTCAATTAAAACGTTGTTCTCTTCTGTTGTAAAATCGACGATCTTGTAATTTGTAACTTCTACAGGTCGTTTCAAATCTCTCGGCCCCAATAGAATTGATTTCTTGGACATTTTTGAGAACCTTCTGAACCTTTCGAGAACATTTGTTCGTCCAATTGGCGATTTCGAATCTCCACGAATCGCTGTATTGTAACAAATTGGCTACGTATGTTTGTACATTTATGGCAATAATAAGTGCACGAAAGACGAATAAAGACAACAGAATCTCGAAACACTGTTATATCATTTTCAATCTTTACGAATCCTTGAAATGTGAAAAAAATGTAACTCCTGCTCGTTAAAATTCGGGGCGAACATTTTTATTTTGCATTAAAACATCCGCCGCCAGGTAATAAATATATAAAAAGATCCGGCGTGAACGTTAGCTGACGAGGAGAGCGTGGAGATAGGAACACTAAATGGTCGGTCGGAAAGATAAACGAAGTTCGCGGAGTCGAGTGAAATCCGAAATGAATGCTTTTCGAGCGCGTGCAGAAGGGCGTTTCGTGTAACAGTCAATTTTTCCCGAGTTTGAAAGGCCACGAGAGACGCCGGGGCGAGGATTTCTGCCAGAATTTCTAATTATAGAAACCTCGTCGCATTTGCGCGCTGTCTGCGCAAATTAAAAATAAATTGGACAAAGAGGAAAGCGAAGAGAACGTGGGCGGGGCGAGGGTCAAGCAAATGGCCGTTCCTTAGGTTCGAGGCCAAGTTTCGCCTTTCCGACTTCGCTGACAAGTGTCGAGGAGAACACGAAATAGATAGATCGTCAGGAACTTCGCATTCTGCGATCGAGCAGTGTTTAAATAAATTAAAATCGATCCTCGTTAACCGAAGTTAATTTCTGCTCTCGGCCCTCTGCAGCCGAATCATTTATTCCGAAATGTAGCTGCGGAGATAGTGAGAATCACTTGGCTTGGTAACTTTAAATGTTCGACATTTTATTGTTTAATGTTTATAATTATGCTGCGATTCTTTATTGTACACTTACAGAATCTTTTCTTATTATTTTGTGAAAATGGAAATTAAATTTGGGTATTCTTCATCGGACTCAAACATCGGAAAACTTGCAATTATGAAAATTGAGTAGTATTTTTTATTATTCAAAGCATAAAGAACTTAGAAACATGACAATTTAGCAGTATTTGCTGTTGAAAGTTTCAAGGATTTACAAATATGTCGATTAAATACTATTTTCACTGCACAAAGTTTCGAGAATTGAAAAATACACAACTTGCTCAGTTTCAATTATGCTTTTTATCTTGCATTATTATTCGAAGTATAAAGAACTTAGAAACATGACAATTTAGCAGTATTTGCTGTTGAAAGTTTCAAGGATTTACAAATATGTCGATTAAATACTATTTTCACTGCACAAAGTTTCGAGAATTGAAAAATGCTTTTTATTTTGCATTATTGTGTATTTATGTGCGTAGCTCGCAAATGAAATCTGCAGTCTACCCATGTTATTTACCCATCAACGTTTAGTGAAATGTTTCGCGAAGTCGGTCGTTCTAAATGCACGGTAAGAGCGCATCGTTTTCGGTGACAGTACATTTACGTTTTCCTCTTTGTTAGCATCCACTTCGTGCATATCATGGACCGTTTGCCATCAGGATAGTTCGCGACGTATACGTTCAAAAATATTTATAAAATGCTCTGGCGTTCGTCGAATGACAGCGACGATCTCAGAGAGGGACTCGCGAGAGACACGAACTGCGGAGCGCGAAAGCTGGAAATTCGGGGAGAAGTTAATTATGTTTTCGATCAAATTGCGAAAGCTTTCAGTATGATCGGCGTCGCTCGATTTGCAGACAGAGAGAACACGACTGCGGCGAACGCGACGATAAAAACGTTCTCGTGTTCTCTGAAATTGACCGGCGATCGTTTCAGGATGCCATTCGGTTGTATCATAAATTCGTAAATTGTCCGCTCTCGAGAGATAATGTATTTCCAACGCGAAACAAACAAATCGTTTGACTGGAATCGAACGGTCAGTTCTAGGAACGAACTTGACAGTTCGACGCGAGCACAGAGTTTTCAACATTTTTTCACAGAGAAATTTGTAAATATTGTTGCGACAGAGATGCAAGCGTCGATCGAGATTCGACAATAAAACCGAGTACAGTAAATTCTCCCCAATTTTCCTTCAACTTGCAAACGAAGTGTATAATATAATAATAATAATATAATTTATAATAAGGATAATAAATCGGCGATGATTAGGGAAGAGCAGACACGATTGTAAGCCCCGCGGATCATTTTTACAGTTGCTGCTTATCAATAATTATAAAAGCGAGGCGCAAGGTTCGAATTTTTGTTTAGAAGCTGAAGAAGAATTAGGAAAAATTTACTGCAAATACGTCCCAAAGTTGGTCTATAATTTGCAGACAGCGGGTCTTCACGCAAAATAAAAATCGTCCAAGTCGATCGCAAGAAACAGAAGTTCAAAAAATAAACCGAATCGCTTCTCTTCCTATTTTCAATAAACCGAAAACAGCGCAACAATCTGTCATCAAATTCTTCTAGTAATATCTTACGTTATATTACCAACAAAATTAATTATTATTATTATATTATTATATTATATTAATATAATATATATATATATAATATTATATGTATATTATTATTATATTATTATATTATATTAATATAATATATATAATATTATATGTATATTATTATTATATTATTATATTATTATTATTAATTATAATGTCTAATCTACACCCACACATTTCCACTATAAACGCATAAAATCCGCCGTCCAATAATCCGGGCTTCTAGATTTGAATAATTCATCCGGGTAGTCTTTCTACAAGGTCATCGGTCATCTCGAAAAATCGATCGCTCTCCGCTGTCTACGCGAACCTGATATAACACCGAATTAAATTAAGCGATACTGAATTAAACGCGAAGTCTGCGAAGTCGCGATACGCGGCGCGATGCTGCGCGGGTGCGTCCGAACCGTGAACGAATTATTGACAGAGCGATCTTGTCTCCGCAGCAGCAACAGCAGCCGCAACAACAGCAACAGCAGCAGCAACAGCAGCCGCAGCAGCAGACAACGAATCAGCAGCTAGAAGTAAGAAACTCGATAAAGGAGGTAACCTCGGCCATTGTGCACTACGTGCAAAGCGGTCAGGAGGTTGCTGGAGGTGGCAGGCTCTCGCCTCGACCTCGACCCGAAGACTGGGACGACAGGGGCGGAGCAAGGTCAACCAGCCCCAGAGGTGAGCACTAAACCAACCCATGCCAAAAACCATCTCACCACCACCACCACAACCATCACCACTTTTACTCTCTACGAGAAAGGTAATTTTGAGTTTTCCACCTTGATGTGTTCTCTCTCTTCGTGTATCTGCATCCACTTCTGCGGCCTAGATGCATCTCTTCTTCTACTACTACTACTACCACCACCATCATCACTTCTTCTACTATCTTCTTCATCTTCTTCATCATCTTCTTCATCTTCTTCTTCTTGTTCACATCTGCATTTGTTGCCCGGTTCTAACAGTCCGGCGCGCTCCGATGCGAATGTTCTTTTCTTTTCTTCTTTTTCTTTCGTAACAACACACACGACACGTATTATCGTCTGTCCATCTGTTTATCTATCTGTCCATCTATTCATCCGAATATCTTGTTCGCTCGTTGTTCTGACATAATCGTCTCTCTGTCTACCAGCCTAAAAGCACTACCAGTTCGCCGCCTCTCTGCCCGTCGTGTCCTGTTTACTAACTAAAATCGCTTTGAAAGCCCGGCCATTCAACAAAACCAGCCTTTGACGATAGGAGAACCAGCATCCTTCGCGCGCGTCCAGTTCGCTATTCTATTCATAGTCCGTGCGCGCCGCACTTGAACGTGCCCGCAATATCGCCCGGATCTTTCGACGGGTGTCACCGTTCGAACGTTTCGTTAACGTTTCGTTAACCGTTGTTCCTCCTTTGCCGGAATGCCTTTTTCCACGTCCGCGGCATCGTTCTGCCCCGGATTTGCTTCTCGCTCGGGGCTCGCACCCCGCAGAACCCGCTTCGAACAGCTCGCTTTTCCGTGGCGTCGCTCGAACACGTGTTGTCAGTGCGATTACAGTAATGCTTCGAGGGTCCTCGATCTTGTCGGCTTTTTTTGTTGTGGGTGAAACGAGGGTATAAATATAGGCTGTCACAATAATGTTCCGCAATCCGTAAGCGGGGGATTCCTGAGGTAATTTGAAGCAACTTTTTCCTTAGCGAAAATGCAATCCGCCGCTTCGTTTGCGAGTTATTAGCGAAAAACGGTGGCCAATGAGCGGCGAACTCGGCTGGCGCGAGGCGGCCCCGCATTAAGCGCAGTTCCGCTCATTGGCTCGGCCGTCACGCGGTAACGGAGCTCGCCGCTCATTGGTCAGCGTTTTTCGCTAATAACTCGTAAACGAAGCCGCGGATTGCATTTTCGCTAAGGAAAAAGTTACTCGAAATGATGTCAGGAATCTCCTAGTTCTGGATTGCAAGACATTTTTGGGACATCCGGCATATCGTGGATCTTCACGCTGGACACGTTCTGCGTCAATTTCGAGGAAAAGAGACCTGGTAGAAATTTCTTGCTTGCTTGAAAAAAGTCGCTTTTGTTGCAAACGCGTCGAATCCACGATTTAGCAGGAAATCATTGACCGGGAAGTCCTGTAAAATACATTCGCGAAATATCCAAACGAATAGACCAAAGTAGCATGTAACTTCGTTATAGTTCCATGCGGATGATTTTCATATTAATATTCCATATTAATTTTTTTGTAAGACCGTCGCGACAGAAATGATCTTGCTCTCTCAAAAACTAAGAAATTCCCTAGAAACGGCTGATAAAAATTCCCAGCTTCTCTTTCCACGCTCGGACCGGTCTTGCACCCTCGTTAAAATCCTAATCTCTATCTACCTCGTTACCATTCTCGCGCGAACCGACGCACAGAAACTGATCAAAGGTCGACGGATCTTCGAAGCATCGCTGTACCCCTTTTCCAAGGTGCGAGCACCTCTTTCTTCATCTTTCGCACGACACTGACCAAAACCACGAGGAGGAGAGAGTGTGAAAGAGAGGGAGAGAGAGAGGGAGAGAAAGAGAGAGAGAGAGAGAAGAGAGAAATCCTTTGCGAAAGAAAGTCGACGGAAGCGGACATCGCGAGAGAGCAGGAGCTCCGGCAAGAACGATCGTCGTCTCGCGAGGTGAAACTCGCGGGACACGTCCGGAACGCGCGTTTGCACGACGCAACCTTGGCCGAGGACAAACGAGAGAAAAGAAGCCGACGGAACAATCGGGACGTCTCGTGGTCGCTTGTCGATCGCGTGACCTCTCCGTCGACGCTCGAGAAGCCCGACGTATCGTTTTTAATCACGAGCGTCTGGCCGAGAGAGTATGCAGCGGCCGCGACGGGTCGGCTATTTCGACGGCCTTGCGGCCCTATAGCCGGCAGGCCACCGAAATAGATCACCCTGAAGTTGAAGTCCACCCCGCTCTCTCTGTGTGTCGCCGCGCGGTTTTCGGCGCGGCCAAACTGATCCGGCACTCGCGCGACCTTAAGACGAAATTAAAACAAACACACCGAGACGAGCGCAACGTTGGAGGATAACACGTGGCCACCATGACGCGGCGCCGCCTCTCGCACCTTTCGCGAGGCCGGAGGAGCAGAGGTCCCCGTCATGCTGCCGCGGGTAACGACTCGCTGTAGCCTGGTTTACGAAAGATTGAACCCGAGGCGTTACGACTGTCGTAATGCACGGATGACTGTCACAGCTCCGTGGATTTATGGCGACGGTTAGCTTTGTAGGACACGGTTCTTGCAAGTTGTCCATCGGCTGCGAACAGGCACGTTTAGACCTGGAATGGTACAGGGAAACGGTCGATTTCTCTTTGCCGCATTTGTCACAAAAGAAGTTTCGACGTTTTATTGAACGCGTTCCTGGAGATCGTTCGGATCTCTTATTGTATTTGTTTAAAGAGCTGGCAATTTTTTAGAGCGTGCCAGAAGTCGATGCTCTAAAAAGCGAGCAAAGTTTAAATTCAGAGAATATTGTAGATTGGTTCGGATATACACGGTGTCCCATAATTATGTTAACACACGGAGAGGAGAGATTCCTGAAGTGATTTGAAGTAACTTTTTCCTTTGCGAAAATGCAATCCGCGGCTTCGTTTACGAGTTATTAAAGAAAAACGTGGACCAATCGGAGAGCGGGCGCGGCCAGCGCTCCGCCTTTTCGGCCAATGCCGCGTCGCGCCGACCGTCTGACGCAGCGGCAGTGGTCACGAGGGCGGGGCGTCAGCGATCTCTCGGTGTTTTTCGTTAATAACTCGTAAACGAAGCCGCGGATTGCATTTTTGCAAAGGAAAAAGTTACTTCGAATAACCTCTGGAACCCTTTCCACGTGTTAACATAATTGTGGAATACCCTGCAACGCCTAAAGATGACAATGATCACACGTTTTCCAATGTTTTCACGAATTGCGTTAAAAAATGTCGAAAGTTTAAATAACTGAAAGAATATTACAGATTGATCTAAGCATAATGCGCGGAAATAGTAAAAATGAAACACACGTGCGAATAAATTGTGACAGTCGACCGTGCGCAGAAAAAGGGACAATGATCCGTGCATCGCTATCGCGGCTGTTCTCCGAGCTACGATTATTCGCACGTTCCGAGTCCCGGAATAATTGGAGCGAGGTGTTCAGTTATTACGACTATTGTTGAACTTGTCGCGGTTCTTCTTTCCAGAAATGCTAACAGCATTCAGAAGACGGGCTTGTTCGACTCCGCGTCGATTTTCACGTTCTCGCGGTTATTTGAACCTGTGTGTGAACGCTTTTGTTCCGCTGCTGTGGTGATCGTACTAACTTCTGTGACGTGCAACTTGTCAATAACTTGTACTCCGCGCCGTTGGATCGTTCGGAATGTACGCCACGGCGCGGCAAGAGCAATGGTCGTGGAATTATGGGGTTGATCCCCGGCGGATCTGTTGGCTGTTTTATTCGTACCTTCGTGCTATGCAATTTCACTGAAACTTTAGACTGTAATTTGAATAGAGACATTAGACTGTCATTTAAACGAGAACGTTGGTCTATGATCCGAACAAAAGGCTTAGACTGTCATTTAAACCGAAAGCCTTAGGCTACGATTTAAACGAAAGCCTTCGACTACAATTCGAACAGAAATCTTAGACCGCGATTTAAACGAAAACGTTAGACTACGATTTAAACACAAAACTGTTAGACAACAAATTAAAGGAAAATACTTAATTGAGAGATCAATGAGAAATGATGGAATTCGTAGGATAAAATATTATTTATGGTTTATAGATTAACCGAGCTTTTCCGTTTTAGATTCTTTATCAAAGCGCGGCTGAAACGAGATAGGAAAAGTATAAATTCGATAAATCATAATTTTTTAATGAGAATATCAGACTATCTTGAACAGACGTATTTCGACATAATGCGCGAAAAACGTGCGTTTCCATTTTCATTTCCACGATGAGAATTCGTGGAGGTTCCGATCTTATTTTTTCGACCAAGAACATTTTTTTTTTTAGATCCATCTAGAAATATAACGAGAAACAGAGCTGTACCTTTACTCCATAATACGGACCGTATTAATGCGCGTCCAGCGCGGAATCAATGTAATTGTTAATCAATTATTCAGCGAGCTACGCCGAATCGTACCGTTCGGTCACTCGATACTCCCTAAGAGGCCACTACACAAACGCGAGAGTGTGCCAACACTTCCCACCATCGAACGAACGGACGAACCCACCGTCGAAACCCCTCGGAATCGACTCTTTCCTCTTGGCCGGCCGTAGTAACGCGTTTTCCACGACCATAAGTTCCCCGCGCCGGGCGCATCAAGCTTGTCCGCATTGTAATTAATATTTCCGTATTGGACGTTTCACTAATACGAATTAACCAGAGTGTGTCGTTCGAGGAAGCTTTCCGTCTGTCTTTTGCTCTAAAAACCGGACACGATCACGTAGCGTTGTTGAACTCTTAAAGAGAAACGAAACGAAACGATACGAAACGAAACAGAAAAACAAAACAAAAATAAAAGACGTTACGGTACATCTCGGAAAACAAAAGCTGACCCTCCCGAGGTCCACGTGTTTTATACTCCAGAGCCAAGTAAAAAATAAAAATAAAAAAAAAACAAAACACACACACTCACTCACCGAGCGAGAGAACTCTCTTTGTGCTTCTTCCTGGTACCCTGATCTCGCAAACACCGAGAGCCAAAAATAAACGAAAAAAAAAACAAAAAACAAAACATGAAAAGAAATACGGTTTCGGAGGAGGAGTCGGCCGGTGTGTGCTCGCCGCGCGGCTGTCTCGCGCGAGATCTGTCTAATCTATTGAATGCTTCTGCTGCGAAGGGAGCGTGAAGCTGTGTTGGATGGAGAGCTCGTTCGTCGGCACGAGACCCGTGGACTCGCCGGAGACGCCGATGAGCTTGGCCACGGAGACCGACTGCTGTCCCGGCTGCAACGCCACGGCCACTGAGTCCTGCAGTTGCGTGGACTCCGCGACATCCGGTCTGTTCTTGGACCTGACACCGACCCGCGACGACGGCCAGCACCATCAGCAACAGCAGCAGCTCGGCGGCGGCGGCGGCGGCGGAAGCCTCTGCCCGTCACCGTCCTCCTCGCTAAATTATCAGCACCACCATCCCCACCACCACCACCGTCAGCTTCACCATCAGCAGCAACCGCAGCAACAGCAACGCCATCACCGCGGTGAGTTGCTGCTCGCCTAGCGGAAAGCCAAAAACGAAAGAGACCGAACAAGGGAACACGTACAGTCGCCGCGAACCACCGGGAACAACCGATGTTGCCGTTCGATCGCGCCTTGCAACGTGCCGGACGAATCCTCGACCTGGCCTTGCCCGGCCGCTTCGATAGACATAAGCTGACGAAGACGATTCACAGGTCCCCGGTGAATCCTGCCCCTGGACAAACACGGCTCGTTCAGAATTCTTCACGGTCCCTTCACGTGTGACTCGACGACGCTGGGAGCAGGCTCGGAACAACGGTTCCAAAACTGGCCGCGACGGTGTTCTGTTATATGGTTTTCGTTGAAAGCCGACAAGTAGAACCTTTATTCTGAGAGAGCATCCGCCGAGTACCGTCGTTTCCTACTGTTAATCCGTTTCGTTGTTTATTCGTCTGTTTTTGTATTACTTAGTCCGTTTCGTTATTTATTTGTCCGTTGCTTTCGATTCTTTTAATTTGGTTAAATACACAAAAAGCGCAAGAGGCTAACGTGAGCTAAGCTGCAACGTGAAATAAATATTGAAAACCAGCAGGCATCCAAAGCTCCGTTCACCGTTTACTATTTACTATTTATTGCATGTAGTCGCTTCTTTTATTTCACCGAGGAATCACAGTGCAATGTAGAATCGTCAAAATAATGCGAAATAATTGTAAACAGAGGAAACGAGCGAACGGTGGTTCGTAGGGGTTGATCAGAATAAAGGGTCTCCGTGAGAAACTGTTCCTATGGGAGTCGACGAACTGCTGGTACAACTCCAAAAATAAAAATAAAAATAAAAAAATAAAAGAGCGAGCCTCCGTGAAGGAATAATTGAACGAAATGCAGAGCGGTGAGATTTTCTCGCAAGATGTTCCATTTCCAGAGGAGAGTTGTTACGTCGATGGTAGAGATTCGGCAGAAATTCTGTCGCGAAGAGTCGCGAGAAAGTTTCACGCCCTGCATCTGTCGCTTAGTTTTTTTCCTGCGAGTCGAGCAGCTTTCTGATTGCGCCGCCAGTTCTCCGTCATCGATTCGAACATTTTCTGCGCTGTAGAAAAATTCTGCTTGGTAGGCGAATAATCTGTGCGAGATGAACACTCGAGACCATGGTAATCGGTCCATTCGACGGAAGCTTTTCGCCAGGGGTAGCATTCGCTGTTAGGCGTAGTCGCTAGGAAGGTAGAGCTTCGCCGTGCCTCTTCGCTCTTTCGCGTCCCCATGGGACCTTCGTAGACCCGTAGGTGGCCGACGATCCTCGGAATCGGCGATTCGAAACGCCTCCAGCGCTTGCGAAGTCGAGAGAATTTGCCATTCGAACATTTGCCAGGAGACCGCTGGCAGACGATCACCGAAGTTTCGCGTTTTCCGATCTCGTCGACAGCTTCGCGGTCGCGTTAGAAGAGCCCCGAGCAATCGTCAAGGTTCATCCGTCGACGATTCCGCGCGCGTTCCTCGCGATTTTTCTCGGCGGCTGGCGACGGACCGGTGAACGATCTTTCTTGGAACCGCCTCGTCTGACGTAGTTTCGAGACCTGTCTGCTCGAAACGCCTTCGGTCACGCTCCGTCGACGTCCTCGGCAGCGTTGGGACGCTCTCCAAAGCGACGCCTCGTTTCGTCACCGTGATCTCACGGTCCCCACGTGATCGCTACGACTGTCATCCCTCGTGGACGCGGCGTGGCACGACGCGTGTCTGGCCAGCTTCGATCGGCAGAGAAATTATTTTTGTACCTCGTCGCAACGAGCGCGAAAACGGACGGTCGACGATCGAGGACACCGAGCGGCCCTCGCCCCGATCCTCCCGAGATTTCCGGTTTCTCTCTTTGTACATAATTCGCCGGCGATCTCGCGAGCGGCCCCGCGGAATCGTCGCCGATCGAGGGTGCGGCGCGGCGACGTCGCACCGCGCTCTCTTGTATATTCTGCGCGGCTTTCGAACTACTTCTTCTTCTTCTTCTTCTTCGTTCTATTTTTCTCTCTTCTGTTCGTTATCACGATCTGTGCTCCACTTTCGACTGCACCTTCGTTTCTATCTTTTCCTCTTTCTGTATATTGTACAGTACGCCGGCTGGAGAGTCGTCGCGAGAGTTCTGTCGCGCTTCGACTTTTCCCGTCCAAGGCGTGTCGGCGGCGGGTTCGAGAAATCGTAGGATCGATTAGGCGACGTTCGGATATACAGGCGTTAACTCCTCGCCGTACTTTAACGAGTCAGATCTTTTCGTGGCGCAGATTTCTAGTAACAATCCTATTAACACTAAATCTACCGCGGTCAAAGCGACCGCTTTCTTATTTTGCAATGCTGCAAAGTTTCGAGACTCCTTCGTGGAAAACGCTTGAATAAGTTATATTATCGGAGCAAGTTTTGTAATAAAAGCTTTACAAATTCTAAATAAATTCGGTCTTCTCACTTTTGTGAAGCGGTACATGCCAGTTAGTATTACTGCTTGGTAGATTTAGTATTAAATACCAATGTTGTTCCGTTTTTCTAAGCCGCGCGGAATAAAATTCTGTCCTCTTNTTCGACTGCACCTTCGTTTCTATCTTTTCCTCTTTCTGTATATTGTACAGTACGCCGGCTGGAGAGTCGTCGCGAGAGTTCTGTCGCGCTTCGACTTTTCCCGTCCAAGGCGTGTCGGCGGCGGGTTCGAGAAATCGTAGGATCGATTAGGCGACGTTCGGATATACAGGCGTTAACTCCTCGCCGTACTTTAACGAGTCAGATCTTTTCGTGGCGCAGATTTCTAGTAACAATCCTATTAACACTAAATCTACCGCGGTCAAAGCGACCGCTTTCTTATTTTGCAATGCTGCAAAGTTTCGAGACTCCTTCGTGGAAAACGCTTGAATAAGTTATATTATCGGAGCAAGTTTTGTAATAAAAGCTTTACAAATTCTAAATAAATTCGGTCTTCTCACTTTTGTGAAGCGGTACATGCCAGTTAGTATTACTGCTTGGTAGATTTAGTATTAAATACCAATGTTGTTCCGTTTTTCTAAGCCGCGCGGAATAAAATTCTGTCCTCTTGTGATCGATATTTTAATCCTCCCAGTAAATGTAGACACACGATAAATATAAATTTTCATTTTTTTTTCGAAGAAATTATTACAATTGAAAATGTGCTCATTGTTTTAATTATGAAGAAAATGGTACGGTAAGGAGTTAACTCGTTCACGCGACGGCGTCGTCGTCGGCGGACGGAGTAGATATTTTTGGAGGAACTTCTTATTCCATTGGTACGTTCGTAATGGTAGCTTTTAGTCTGTCGAACCGCGACTGTCTTGTATTTAGGGCGATGCTCGAGGCTATGAAATCGTTTCTTGCACCGTATTTCTCACGTAATAGGCGGCGTAGATCGAGCGTTCTTGCGATTAGAAATTAGCGAAGGTGACGAGGAATTTCTGATCAGTTTGGTCACGCGTTGTTAGGCTTGCTGACTGTTTTCGTAAATTTCTATCAGCGTGCGAAGAGGGCGCGTAGGTTTTTGGTAAATGTGGAACGAAACGTTGGATTACGAACGGATCGAGTCTTTCGCGCGGTTCGGAGATCATTTTCTAATCGAGTTGCGACTATAAAATTCTATATTCGTATAAGACACTGTCGTCGGAAAAGCTTGAATTATAGATTGTATATAACAATGAATTTATTTTTATATTCTATTTAACAAGAAGCTTCGGTAACTGGAAAGCCTTTCAAGCGAACGTCTGTTCTCTGAATATCTGCGCGAAAAAGATTTCTAAAAAAATTATGCTTCTAAATTTTGGGCGGATAACTGATTTTTCTAATAGAGAATTGATTTTCAATGTTCGGCCGTTTAGCTTCTAAGCAATTAAGAATACGCTTATAGAGGGTATTTCGATGGAACGGAAATTCCGGAAATTCGCGTGATTTATTCGTTAAACAATTTACTTGTTCGTAGCCATGGATTAATTACATTCACTCTTGACAATCATTCACGTGTACGATATCTGAAACATTTGAAACATTCGAAAGTGTAAAACTGCGCGAATAAAACGAAGAATACTCTTTTCTTTTTATTTTGATCTCGGCGAACCTTCTATAACTGTGACTGAAAGAAATCATTCGACGCAAGATCACGAAATCGTCGATACAAGCTCAACGACGATTAAACGACTATTAATCGATTATTAACGTTCTAACATCGTATCGTATAATAATAAGTACTGACGCAAAGAAGATTCGTCGGTAGAATTACGTCAGCGTAATCCGGAATGTAATTGTCTTAGATTGGATTGATCGATGGCGAAAGGAACTGTCTGGTTCCGCTCGAGTCGTGCACGATCCGCTAATTAAGTAGCCTAGGATTTTGTATCGCTTACGTAGGCAGCGTCCCGGCGTCGATGGGACTCGTTCACTCGCAGTGCTTTCATTGTCTCTAGGCGCAAACCTCGTGGGCCAGCAGAAAGGGGACTCGAGCGAGCGTATATCTCTCTCGCGCGGCTAGATCTTCGATTCGGAGGCCGCGTCATTCGCGATTAGAGCATAATAATGCACGCCCCGCGCCGATTGCCGTTATCGCCAGTTTCTCTCCCGTCTATCGTTTTCGTCAGCTTGCCGGCCGTGAACGTTGAACCGTGAATCGGAACTGCTCGAGGGTCCGGATCAATTGCCGCACACTTCAAACGAAATTCAAGCACACACGACGATTCTGCACCGGAGAATCCACTCTCTACACATGCTCTTTCTTTGGAAATTTTCTGTCGAACGTCGACGAGTCTGGAGAAACGACCGCGGCAGTGTTCCCTCTCTACGAGCGCGCCGTCGACGCGCTTATAGGGAGGATTCACGATTTCCCGAATGATTTACGATTTCGCGAAAGTATTCGACGCTTTGTCGTGCGAGACGCCGAGAGAATCAGGCCACCCAAGGGTGTCTGCCCTGTGAGATGGGAAACGCCGTCGCGACTGGGCCAGCCAAGCGTGCTTATAACGAGGGAGCGCCGCGATTCTCGGACACGAGAAAAGAC